TTCTCTGTAAGAGTATGGATCGAGTAGTCGCAGATGATTATCATACTTATCTATGGATGAATAAAAGCATATTCGAGTATCATCAACAATTTTTAATCACAATATTTCTTGTAAATATTCAATTTATTGTCTATTCTCAAATAAAACAACACTCTCAAACTATAATCTAAAGAAATATGAATATATTATTTTTGAACTTAATTATTTTATTTTTATTATGGCATAGATACTTCAAAATCTAATAGTATTTTGTAACTTTATTTAGATAGAATACATTTTGTTCTTTCATTAGGTGGAATCACAGTTATTACATTTGATCTACTAGCCATTCTTGTCTTTATTTATTTGGTTACTACACTTGTTTTGAATTCAAAATCAACAAAACATGTGAGTACATATTTCTCAAACAATATCAATAAATAAAAAAGTGGATAGAATGTAAGAAGTATTATTAATCATATACAAATACAAAGTCAATGCTGTGATGAAAATAATTGGTTTGATTGAATGCATAATACTATCAATCCAGTGTCACCTGTAATAAATGAAACTATCTCTTTCTACAAGAAGAAAGTCCACATCAACCATATATGTTGGTATCACAATATCTATAACTAACATTATGACTCGAAGGTCATTATCATCACTAAGGTAATATCGAGCAGTATTCCTATTATACAAACAACTAAAAACAGTATCAACCAGTTTCATCAGCAATCACATCTACTCTTTGATATCTCTCTACAAAAACATCATGTGACCTTCACATATGATGATATCAAAAGTCTATCATTGTCTATTGATGTCACTTGATCAAAGTTTTTGTTGTTAAAGTGAAACAATAAGTACAAGCAATATATGAGATTATTGTAAGTATCAGTATCTATTTTTATTAGAAGAAAAATAAGAGTATTCTTTTCTTTTATATTGAAGACTGTATTCAATACTAATGATTTGTATTAACTGCTGATAATCAAGCAATAAGTATTCTTCTTATTAAGTGATTTATGGTTGTCTTAACATTCATAACCATTCTCATACTTTTAAAAGTTTCATATTCACAAGTTTCTGTCATTATATGAGTGGTTATTAGACCGAAATGATTATTAGAGTGATAAGGAACTAATGTATCTTACTTGACAAGACCTCTTTTTTGTCGAAGATTTTTCTATAGTTTTCGTGGAATAAAATAAGGTATCGGAAGTGCAAAATGAAAGCAGTATTTATTTTCTTTTTCTAAAACATGGTTAGGGAGAGCGTGACGAGTTGATCAAGAATATAGGTGTTTTCATTTTTTTTTGGAATGGAGTTTTAGAGAAAAATGCCAGTTTTTTTGTTTTCTTCAAGTTTTAAAGCTGTTTTTCACAATGAATTTGAAACAACCAGTTTTGAGTCTTGAAGAAAACAAAAAAAAGTGATATTTTCCTCTAAAATCTCATTCCAAAAAAATGAAACACCGATATTCTTGATCAGCTCGTCACGCTATACCTAACCAAATATAAAAAAGGAAAAAGAAATTCTACTTTCATTTTACATCTCCGGCATCTTAATATATTTTGTTTTTCACATTGATTCAATAATTATCAACTTTGAATAGAAAATTTTTAGTTATTCTCTTGATTATATTTATGACAATCGATAAATATTGGCTTTTTTTCATTTCATGCTGTAGATAATTACGTCTTGCTTCATCGATTTTCTTTCTTTCCACCATAATCGTTCAATATACTTTTATTCTGTATCGATGACAAGGCTGTACAGCAGTTTAAGATGCAATAAAGCTGTATGTAAATAAAAATCGTGAAACCAAACATAGTACTTAATCGACGCATATTTTTTATCTAAATACTCATATTTTCTTTATTCAATATGGGATTACAACTTCATAATTATGGTATTGTTATCATGATTCTGATTTTGGTATTTGCTCTTATTCATCTGGGTGTTAGTATTGGTATTATCATAAACAATCGCCGTTACGGTGATATATTTGAACCTGAGATAGGATTATCTTGCTTCAATATTGTAGTTAGTTTTCTAGGTATTCAAGTGGGTGCATTTGGTCTGCTTTGTTTATTAACAAATCAGCAACTTTTCGGTAAGTTTCAGTCTGCTTGCTGAAGATAAATATTTGAAAGATATTGACTCATATATATTGTTGTTATACATTCTATTTCTCCTGAAAATTAACCACTATCAACATGCTCTAGTCATCCTATTGTTCGCTATGAATATATCTTATTTTATTCTCTCTGAAAAAAGGAACTTTTAAGATTTCACTTTAATCATACAATGTTATATATCGTGAGATATATTTTGTTCTTCACTTGACAGGCAAAATTATAGCCATTGTGGCCGGTGTACTTGGTATCTTTGCTCTTGCTTCTTTAATTACTGTCGTTGTTATAAATTCAAAGTCAGCAAACTATGTGACCACGCATTTCTCAGCTTACATGTATGGATATAGAATTAGAGCAGATGCCAGAAACGTAGTTGATCGGGTACAAAAAAAATATCATTGTTGTGGTAGAACTACGTGGCTTGATTGGGCTTATGACGGCACGAGTCCTGTTAAAGTCACATTAGCGGAAAAACCGATACGCTCTGTTCGCACAGCAATTACATCATTAAAAGAAGATATCACAACTTTACGTGACGATTATTCATCACAATTACCATCAAGAACACATTATATTGACCGTAGGGAAACGTGAGTGATTATTTAAAATGTTGAAAATTTTACGAAGAATCTTTCATTATATTACTGTTCCTAGAAATCATCTTGGTCGATTGCTACCGCCTTTCACTTTAATATCTCGGCAAAAGAGACAAATAGCACTCACAAATAGTATTACATATGATGTAACAATCAATGATCAATTTTTGACTCCGCGATCATGTTGTTCTAATCTTATACATAACTTAGATGGTACAGTACAAACAGGTAAGAAGTGTTCTTGACTGTTATACATTTAAAAAAATATACATATCATAATTCTTTATTAAGATTGTGTATCCTATGACCAATTTTATAGTCAAGGATGCTTAAAATATCTCATGAAACGATCTAATCAACAGGATATGGGTATTGGTATTATAAACTGTTTTATGATAGTGTTGGCGTTCGTATCTATACCTTTTCTTATATATGACTATCCGACCTCAAACGTGGCTGTAAACAATATTCCTAAGATACCAATACCAGAGATTCAGGAACCTAGCTTAAATTATCAAATGCCCATAGATGCAGCCAACACTTATTTATGAATTTGCTAATCATTAAATGAAAACGAATTAATCTACTGAAACTATTTTTCATTGACTTAAAAATCTTAATACAAACTGAGCATTAACTGATTACACTTTTATTCGAACTATATAAACAATACTTGCTTAATATTTCTTTATATCGTTTGTTAATTTTTTTTTTCATGTTTATTTCAGCTATTGTATACTAGTTAGACTTCTAAGAAAGTAAGAAGACAACCAATGTATATTATCATTTAAATTAATTGTAAAAGTATGAAAGTAGATGAACATACATATCGTAATGAAAACGATTATTATAATATTGAGAGTATCAAGAATCATTTTTTCGACGAATCAATTGAAAATGGACTCTGTTTATATGTGAATGTTTGGTAGTGAGTGTGATAAAATCACATTTTTTTACAGTAAAATTTTCCTATTTATCATAATAATTTTTTGTTTGACATTTTCATATTTAATTAAATCTTATCAAATGATGTCTCATAAGTTTTATATTGACCACATTTCATCAATTTGTATTTGAAATGTATATTGGTTTTTTTTGCCTATAAAACTATCAGAATGATAAATCGAAGTAATTAACATAGTAAAGAATAAATTAGAAAAAGTAAACATTATAAAATAAGATTGTCAATATGCAAGCCTTTAACAATATGAATAGTGTCACAAGACTACAATCATAATCAACAAATATGATGAATATTATTCCATTAAAATAATAAGACTTATGCAAAATCCATGCGAACAAAAGTCATAGAGCTATTATGAAAAAGCTTTTTTAAATTTTTCTCAAAAAATGTTAAATGACAATATTGAAAAAAGACCAGTAAAATAACCATAGCATTGGACTACATTTATACTTTTCGAAGTGTCGGTTTTTTTGCAGATGATAGCTCTAATTTTTCTCTACGAAATGATATATTTTGATCATTCAACGATATATAGATTTAACATAGGTATCATCAATTTACTGGAATGGATCGCAACTTTTGAATCACCCTTTAATTTAATGAGTCATTAAAAAATTTATAGTATGCGTCATAATGTGTCTAAAGATGATTCCAGTAGTCAACTGAACGCTTACATATTTTTCTTCAATAAATAAATATTCATACTGAAGATATGATCTTTACGGCAGTAAACCATTTCATTCTCGTTCTTATGAATTCTGTCATAAAACGAACCAGATAACTGACAAACTATTTATGATATAAATAAGATTCAAATATTTGTAAAATGAAATTGGTATAGACTGTATCAATGTTCGATATAGGTCAAATTTTCGTAACGCTGGGCAACGATCTCTTCGTGAACTAACCTAATTTATCTCAAGATCTTAAAACACATCAATTGTCAATTTATTTAAGTTAACTACTCGTTGTTTTCTCTTACTTCTCCTGTTTTTTAATGTGGTCGTAGGCATCAACATTGTCATTTTTTATTGCGATGATTTCAAGAACAGAAACTTAGAAAATACCTGTTCAAGCGTAAGATAAAAGTGTTGAGATCGAACCGAAACCATTTTCTGCTCTAATTTTCCTAAGATATTCCGTATACTTAAAAATAGTACCCTATCAAAAAGACAAAGTTTTATGGATTTTGGTTTTCTTTGAAGCTTAGAGTTAGATAAAATTAAAAGGAAGACAGCAACAAAAGTTAGTCTTCACTTGATATGCTTATAACTAACATAGTTGTGAATGAGAGTAAGAATCAATCTATAGAATTCATGAGAAACAGACTGAAAACTGTTAATAGAGTTCTCTTGGTAATGAATTTCAGAATGGCTACTTATCACCCTTCAGTTTGACTTCGATCGAGTTTACGATTTCCAAAAATAGGAAACTCTGATGCCAGTAAAACGTAAATATGTTTTGAGGAAAAGTGTTTCGCGATCAATCATTAAAAACGATTATTTGTTTTCTTTTTCAGATTTCGACGTGTTTAATAATCAACATTCATTGCTTTGGCATGGCATTTTGTAGTAGAGTGAAAATCGTATACCATCTAGGATTCTTTATTGAAGTTGGAAAAAGAGTAGAATTCATTAAAATTAGTAAAATATTAGATCGGTAGTTAGAGATGATTTAACTAGCTACGCTGAATTGGAGTATAATACTCATAGATATTGCATGATTAGAATAAGAAGATGATCTAATGGAGTTTTCTTTTATTTATCTACTGCCTCATTTACATACCGTCTGGAATCTCTATATTACCATTTAACAGAGTGCATTAGCTTTGAAGTGTTATCTCATATCTAAAAAAAAGGAATAGGAAATGCATAACATTTCGTTCTACTAAGCTTTTTCAAGCTCTACAAGACGTATTTAAAATAGAAACATATGTGAAATATCTTATGTATCTGCAGATTGTTGATCTGATCTGATCGAATTCAAATCCGTTTCTGGTATGTATTTCTATGGAAAGAGAATAAAAGAAATATTTAAAATATCATAAGAACATATGGTAGAAAGTTCGATAGTTTAAGAATGAAAAATAAGTGATATCTGCTGTAAGATCTATTAAACATAGATTGAACTCTATAGAAAACAAATCATCAAAGTTGAACTATTGAAAATCTTTTAATCATTTAAACAAAGCTAACAATTAGATCTTATCTATAACTTATTCATTACATTCGAAAAATAAAAAAAAAACATGTTTAATCCTCATTATAAAATAGATTTGAATAATCTAAGGGATACACCATCAAGTCTGAAAAGTTACTCTACTGAAATAAAATATTATATTAATTATATCAACTTGTTCACTATAACATAGTCTATTATTACTATGTTTAACAATAATGCATCTTTATGATTATGATATATATTTGAAATTTGATACAAATGAATGTTTCGATAAATTAACGTACTTGTATTAAACTATATCATCGATGGTGGAGCCACAAAGGATGTGGATGTATGTGAAAAGAATACTCCCACTCACGTCGCACAAATAAAATTCTGAATGAAACTAGTCCATTGCGAAAATATCAGACTCTTTACTGCTTCTTAACCTCAGATATAAATAACCGGTGATCGCGACATTTTTATACTAGATGTTGGTTTACTTTTGACCTGTTAGAAAGTATTTCTGACAAGTCAAGAACTATGAGTTAGGACCAGAAGTTTATGCTCTTTTGAAATATAGGCTTATAAATTTTGTCTCAATTTTTGTCGCGACCAAACTTTGAATAGGGACTGAGAATTGTTATGTCTATTTTTGGTCAAGAGTAGTGAGGGACTTTTTGAAAGACCTGAAAAGTTATTCTTGATGATGACCCAACAGGTTTTTGTTTATCATGTACGTCTCTTTTCGAATATACTAAAAATTGTCAGAGTCGGTGGTTTTATAAAGTTGATGGTTTCTACAAAATGTGATATTTAACTAACGAAGAAAGACCAGAAACCGATCAATCGCTTTTGAGTCAGGATAGTGTGCATCATGTAGGTTCTTATGAGCTATGAATATTCTAAAAAGACTTCGGACTAATAGCTTATTGCTGTTGAGATACTACATTTTTACCGTATTGTTTTTCGCATCATGCCATAGTCCCCTCAGGAACATCAGAAAAGCTGACATCAGCAATATCAGGAAAACTATATTTCGAATTTCGACTTAAAACTTTGCGCAGAGAAAAGCCTTGACGAGAACAGTTTATTTGAAAATTTGAGATCTTTTGATTACAGAGATGGATACGGTTCTGTTGATGAACCGAATTGATCTCGATTTTAGTTCACTTTAATTCTTAGCTAAATTGGTAAGTTAATATCAATATTTCGACATAGAAAGCGTGAATCATGAATAAAAAAAGTGTGATTAGTAACAATGAAAGTATCCGTATATTTGTCCTTGTGTTTCTGCATCTAAGAAAAATAAAATGTAAACAAAACAAGTGTATTCTAATTAAGTAGAATATAAATAATAACTGAAAAAACATAGACATATATTTATATAATATGTATAGTTGATTCTAGTATCTATTGTACTATTGGACCTTCAAAAATGGTCCTGTTTGGTCAAATTGATCGAGATTTATACTGAAATATCTATTGCTCATGCTCTATCTCTACAACTAAAATCAGCTGTCCAACCATTATCGTTTACGAGCGGTGTTCAAAACAAATTCACTTTTCTTTCTCTTTTTCTTATGTTTTTATGATGGTTCCTCACATGTTTCCGTTTCTTTCTTTATTTTTTTCCCAGCTAGAAATGAAAAAAGTAAACAATCTTTTATTAGATTTCTTATACCATTTGAAATGGTCGATCTATTTATAATCTCATTTTTATTTCAGTCATCTTTGTTTCATATAAAATTGAACTTTTATCAGTAGTTCCAGAAAACGTCAAATAAAAGTGTCTCACCCTCCTTTTGAATACACCGCGGAGTCAATAATCATTTTAAGTCAAATTTTTTTAACATAATAAGATTTACCAATTTGGACACTATTGATTGCTGAAAACTGGAGGTTACTAGCTTTTCCTGTTTTTGAATAATTTATATTTTAATGGCGTCCATCGACATGCGACCGATGATTTGTTCCATCCCTATTGCATATCTTCTGACCAAACTACAAAGAGTTAAGAGCTGATTATTTTACCACAAATGTCAATTGTTGGACACAACTTATGTTGTAAATATCATGGCTCTAGCTGGTTTCTAACAATAGAAATTAAAAAATATAGTGAAGGTCAATCTTGTAATTCTCACCAGCTCTTTACTCGATTGAAAAATTTGAAAAATATTTCTTTCGTATTGATTATTTTTATGTTTATTCTCAATGTACCACTTGAAAGGAAATGTTTTGGAATATATGAGACCATATTAGTTGCAGTATGTCATCTATTTTCTACTTAAATACGGTAAAAGGTCCCTTGTTGAGTTCCTACAAACTTTTTGGTCTCTAAATCAGACAAAGTAAGATCTGGTAGATTGCAAAGTTATTTTTCTTATACTTCGAAGTGTCATCTATCCATTGAGAACACTTTCAAGTGCAGACTTTTACTTTTTTTTTCGATCATTTTTTTCATAAAAAAAAGGTACAATAGACACCAGAATCACCTATATAATAAACCCATACCACATCCTGTACTA